GCTGGCACAGTGAGCTGAGGCTGCAGGGGAGGGGGAACAGCAAGGGAGGGGCCAGGGCCAGCCGGGAGCTAAGGGGCCGGGCAGGACGGCCCCGCAGGCTGGATGTGGCCCGCGGGCCGTAGTTTGCCCACCTCTGATCTAGGCTGACCTCCTGCCCATCGCAGGCCATAGAACCTCACCACCCACTCCTGCAATAAGCTCATAACCAAGTCCTCAAATCTTGATGTAAAAACTTCAAGTTACAGAGAATCCACCATTTACTCAAGTTCAAACCAGCAAGTGACCTGTGCTGCACTCTACAGAAAAAGGTCCCCCCCCCCCCCCCCCCCCCCCGAGTCTCTGATTGGGGAAAATTCCTTCTGACCCCACAAGATGGCATTGTTCGCCCCTGAGCATATGGGCAAGACTCACCAGCCAGACACCTGGAAAAAATTCTCTATAGTATCTCAGAGCCTGCCCCATCTAGTGTCCCATCTCCGGCTGTTGGAGATATTTGCTAATAGCAGTTGCAGATAGGCCATATGATAGATATTACAGGCAAAGTCATCACAGCATCCCCTTTGTAAACTTATCAAGCTCAATCTTTAAACAAATGGAATCTTTCCATGGGCTTCAATGGGTATTGAATCAGGGCGATAAAGAACAACATAGATTGCCAGTGGAAGTGCTGACAGGCTTCTTACCAGAGGTGGCTTTAGGATTTTGCACCATCACTCCCAGAGGCACAAGAATATTTTTGGCAACTGCTCTGCCCCATTCATTCTCCTCTGCATGCGAGTAAGTTGGGGGTTGGTCCTGCTTTGAGCAGGGGTTGGACTAGATGATCTCCTGAGGTCCCTTCCAACCCTGATATTCTATGATTCTAAGTGCATCTCCAAGTATCGATTACTATTACTAAGCAGCAGACTTCACAGTCCTATGTTGAATTAAGACTTTTGGGTCCCTGGCACAGGTTTGGCAGTTGCCAGAAGTTGGCTCTACCTTTAATTAGATCTGTGCTAATGCACCCTTTCGACATTTTATCACGGTCTATTATTTGAACTACAGTAAAAAAGGATCTTTTAGAATGAGGCAACATGGTCTACAACCTCAGTTTCCCCACTTCTAAAATGGGGATAGCAATACTTTTCCTCTAAGAAGCATTGTGAAGAATAATGCGTCAGTGGACATAACCCTGAAAGCCACACGTACACGGAACTCCCACTGACTGGACAGGGGAGCTCGGTGAGTGCCAGTTGCTGCCAATGTCAAAGCTCCCACTGACTTAACTGGCGCTGGAACAAAGTCATGGTATGCTTACGGGATCAGGTCCTATGTGTGAACAGTGCTCCATAGATGGTTCGGCTTGGGTTCACAGTGGATTGTACCAATGGAATCTTGGGGACAAGGGCCTCTGGTGGGGGAAAGCCCACTTGGAAGGCATTTGTTGCAGCGTGATGTGCCTGTAGTGACTTCTCTGAAGGGAACCACCCATGGACAAAAACGGACTCAGCTCATCTCCCAGATAGTATCTCCTGGCAGGGTTAAGAAGCAGCCTGAACTAGAATGTAAAGCTATCTTCCCCGCGGAGGAGCCCCTGGGGAAGAGCAGCTGTGCAAATGCTGCATGTCATTCACCAGTGCATGGGTCTCCATTATTGGAAGGATGTGAAATTTGAATCTTTCTGCACCAGCAGGGCTGAATTAAATCCTTGAAATGTTAAGCATCATTATTGTATCAAAGACTGAAAATGTATCCATGGAGTGGACGTTAGCAAATTTGCATAAGACCTCATGACAGTAATTAAAAAAGGTTTAGCACTTCCTTTTCCATCCCCTGCAGACATAGGGTTGAGAAATAAATTCCTGTTTTATAAAGTAGAACAAATATTTGTGTAACTGAAATATTCTTATTATACTCCTTAGAGAAAATATAAGTTAGTTCATTGGACAAAATAATATTTCCCCACATTGACCATAAGGTGGCACTGCAACATAAGCATTTTTTTCCAAACTAGGAACCATAATATTTCAAAAACATGACGAAACACAGTCACTCACACAGTACAGCATGTTAATATTAAACATGCCTGTATTAGATTTACATGTTGTATCTACATGAATCACTTTCTGCCACACAGTTTTGTCTCGTCTGTTATAGAAGACCCTTGGCTTAGTTGGAAACTATATTAATTCTTGGCAGGGAGACATTTTCAAGCTGTAACAACGTCATTGTTTATCTCCAGTTTATTAAGCTGAAGCATACAAGCCTATATACTGGAATCAATAGACAACAATGTATCATTTTCTATGTAAATAAGAAAGTCTGTTTATCTTGGTAAGAGGCTTTTGTTATTGTTGTGTTTTTACTTCATTTTTTCCACCTATCAAAAATTCTTGGATTTAATGCCAAGGATCTTACAGAAAACACATTTTGCATTCTTCCGCCATGTTGCTGAACTACAGTGGAAACAACATTTGGAAATGGACCTTCCCTTAGTGACTCTGGGACCAGAATATCTACACCTTTCCTGATTACTGTTATTCAAAAGGAATAAGTGAAAACAGTGGGTGAGACATATGTATTCCATGTTCTTCAGGTTGTAAAGAGCCACTGACACACTTTGGCAAGTTTTAAAACATATACTTAAAATATATACACATTTTAAACAAAAGTATCATTATGGGGATGCTGGATGGCTCTGTACTAGAGCAAATAGCATTACTACTTATGCCTTCCCCATCTAGTTTACCTCTTAGAATCCAACCCACATCCAGAGTGTCCAACAGTTACCATCATTGAATTATTGTCCAGCAGAGGAACAAAGGGTCTTGGGAACTGAACTATCCATCTTCTGACCCATAGAGGGCTTCTTGCCAAGTCAGGCTTCATGTCCCTGGATAGGCAGTGCTGGGAAGCTTGCATAATGCCGCCCATACTGTACCTGTTCTCTGGCTAAAAAGAGAGGGTTTAGATCTCGAGAACGGTCAGTGTGGTATCTTTGAAGAGCGCTAATTTACCAAATGCTAGTCTACTGTGAGAGACACTAGTTTGATATTTTCTTTCCAATCCTGGGAATAAACAGTGATATCTGCATATAAATGGAAAAGTCCCACTTTACCGACCTGCTCCTGCTGTTTTACCCAGTGATGTCATAATCCTGTATTATGATGCCACAATTTGTCAAATTGTGATGTCACTTTTAGGTGGCACCTGAAGAGAGGGCGCAATAAAATCAGTCTCGTTAGAAAGAAGGTCACTTCCATTTTCCTAATGACTACAGTAACCTGAGAAATCAGTAATAATTGGCATTTGATAAAGTACAGTTTGTTGGAGTGCAGCAATACATCTTAAATGCAGCCTTAGGACACAAAATCATGAACAAATGCATGATGATAACCTTAAAACATCCTAGCTCTTTTCAGATATTTTTCTTTATTTTTACATTCAAAAAAGGCAAACTTAGACAGAGATCTAGCTTGTGTACATGTAGCAGCACTTCTTTTGAGCACAAGGGAAATCTGATCTTTCCAAAACTTCATCAATCATTTTTCGGAATATACTAGTTTTTTTTTCCTTTTCCATTTTTGAATCAATAACCTTTGTACCAATTATCAGCTGGCATCCTTCCGATACGTTGCTGTACATGATCTAGTTGCGACCCAATAGGTCTCTGGCTGTGGTCCCATTATTGTCCAAACTTGAGTAGGAATCCTCCGACACAAAGTAAGGGTGCAGTGGGAAATAATATTGGTGAACAGGTAGCATGTGTTCTTCTGTACTATGAATTAGAATTGAGTAAAGCCCCTGCATGGTGCTGGGGGCAAATAAGACTTAATACGAAGGTTTTGATCACTAAAGGTTAGTCTGTGATTTGGGCTATGCCCCACAGATTGGCACTAAGCCTGGAACGCAGCATTCCCCAAGGACGGATGACGGCCAGCTGGAATACAGAAGGAGGTAGGAAGTGACCCAGGGAAGCTGACTTGAGGCTGACACAAGATACCACAGGGTGAGTGAAGGTGGAACCCGGTGGAGCGGGAGGGCCCGGGTTCCTCTTCCCTCGCCAAGAACTGTATCCATTCGATGGAGCTGCTGCCTGGAAACTGAACCCACTAGGTAGAGTTGCCACCAACAACGGTATCCATTAGGCAAAGCTGCTGTTCACGGACTGCACCACTAGGCGAGGTTGTCACCAGAGATGAAACATTGGGTGTAACAGCCACCTGGGGCCCTGCTTCCCACCCACAATCCCCTTTGCAACCACTGAATTCAATGGGACTAGTCATGGGAGCTAGCGCTGCTCAACATGGATGAATGCTGTACAATCTAGCTCAATGCAATTTGGTCACATAGTCATTCCTGATACAAAGTGCTAACAAAAAGATCTTTAGCATTTAGCATTGGTAAATCTGTACCACCAGTTCAGGATCTGTGCTATTGACAACTGAATGGAAACCAGTGAAAATGAACCAGTACAATGAACTCCCACAGAAAAATGCTTTTGGTAGTTTTCATCCACCTTTCCTGACTAATTCTGGAATACAATAGGGCTGACCACAGTGTAAATAATATTTGTTGAAAATTTAGACCTTATTTCTGTTCACAGAGTGTTCGAATCAATTCTGATTTCAGCAAATATGTCAAATATTCATAAGTATTCACTGAATAGTTCTCATGAACAATTTTGAATATATGATTGTAAACTATTTTTCCCTGACCTAAAGACGAGCTCTGTGTAAGCTTATCTCTTTCACCAATAGAAGTTGGTCCAAGAGAAGATATTACCTCTCCCAACTTGTCTCTGTAAACTATTAACATTTGCGGTGTGAGAATGGGTCACCTGAATCCCGTGGTATTGTTTCTGCTCCCAGATTGGATGACTGAATCTTTTTAAACAGGAGATTTGCAAATAGTGAATACCCAATGATGAACTTCTGACATGAATTTTCACATGAATAATTATTTGTGAAATGTTCAGAATTTGTGAACAATTTCCACACTATATTTCAGTCAAGGGAATACTGGTAAATAATAAATAATATGACCCCACAGACAGCAACGCAGTGAAGTCAGTACGATTATTTGCAAATATGTTTGCGCATCTGTTTTTTATTATTATTATTCAGCCAGCTCTACTATGGACACAGGCACAACAGCAAAATGATAGTATCCAAAAGTAAGAGCACAATATACTAGTTAGAACTGGTTCTTTGGACGTTGGTGCATCAGCTGTAGTTGATCCAGTTTGGATTCATTTCAGTGAAGGTATCACCTAGCCCTTGAGAAGAAACTATACTGAAATAAGTGTCTTTATTTGGCTATAATCCACTCTAATTTAAAAAATAAGTCAACTTTACAGTTAGAATATACTGGGCCAAATTCTGCCTTCAATGAGGTTGTGTGGGTGTAACTGAAAGGTGAATGTAGCTTGCTGTATTGTAAATAAAAAGCATGAAATATTGTACAGCTGAACTTACTTTGGTCTAGAGGCATACAAATTGTCCAAACAGGGAAACAAAGAATGTGTGCAATTTCATCAGTATATCTGTACCTATCCTACTAGAATGTAAGGCATTATACTGTCATGTATGATACTGTATGGTACCAGTATATGAATTTAGTGATTAGGTTTTAAATGGTTTCAGAAATTCAACATGTTTCTTTATAATGGAAAATTACACAATAATTCATGTAGGGCCTGATCCAAATCCCACTGAAACAAAAGACTTCCACTGATATCACTGGACTTAACATCAGACCCATTATTGGTTTCTTGGGAAAATATGTAGCTGAGTGGACTCTACATATATGCATTTAAATAAGTAAAATTAAAAAAAATCAAATAGAAACTTGTGTATTTCTGTTATTCTATATTATGCCCAAAAATGTATAGCTTTTTCTTTAACTTAATACTTTCAAATTACTCATTCTTGCACTGAATATGCAATTCTTCTTTTACTACAAACTGTACCAAATTTGGAGGAGTTAATTAGGTTTGGGAATTATTTAAATGCAGTAATACATTGAAAAGTCACTTGGTTATGTTTTTATATATCAGATTAGTTAATTAACTAAAGTAATAGCATTAATCTGGGTGAACAGATTCTGCACTATGTGTTGATGCGCTGTAGTAATAAAAAAAGAATTTTGGATTAAATTCAAATAAAGATTTTAATGGCTAATGGATATTTTTTATTACTTTGGAATGAATGAGGGGAGAACATACCTTGAAAGTGATGACATAAGTGTGGTTTTAAGAGATCAATGCTAATTATGTATTGTACTGTTTTAGAGAAGATTAAACTTCAAAACCACAGCCAGACAGTGTAAAAGAACTCCTTCATTCCAATGCTATTTCCATACTGCTCTGTTGCTGGGGGGGAAAGAAATGGCAAGAGATTGATAAGCAGGATGTTTTACATTCTGACAAGGAAAATGTGATCTAGCTTCAGTGAAATATCGTATGCTAAGGGAAGAGAACTCTCATCTCATTAGATTTGCTTCTCCTTGGAATGGATAAAATGTAAATATGTGCACGCAAAAATAGACTTTAAAAAATAAAAACTCCTTAAAGCAGTGTATTTGTGGAAGTGAATTTACATATTATGTCTTTTTCCATAAAAAAGCATCATCAAAAAGAACTTGCGCCAGTTTTGTATTAAAAGGCCTATAGAAGTCTCTTAGAATTGCCTTTGTCGTTGGTAACATGGGTCCCAGATTTCGGTCTTCAGGACGTCTAGTGTTTGATGCAGGACTCTTTGTAATTAGAGCTTCTTGTTTCTCACTTATAGGCCCTGCAGTCAAAGAAAATTGCTTTAATGTATTCCTTCCCAAAATGTTAATGTTAAAGAATGTAAATGGCCAAGTAAATAGGTTTGTCAAGAAAAGATTAATGGAATTTTGCTAGCAGTGGTTATGTTCCAGAATACTGGTTACGGGTTTAGTTTAGTAAAATAAATTTCAGTTAGACTACATGGAAATACTTAGTTTTCCTTTCATATCAATTCATCATCTGTGCAATAAGCAACATAAATCATTTCTAGAGGTAGATTTCTAGATTTGTTTTCAGAAAACAAATATGAAAGTAAAAATAACCATTAATGTGCATTCTTCGGTAACAATTATTTCATTTTATTTCCTAATTTTGGTTGTTATGAAGGAGCCACCTGATACCTGTTAGGGTGAAGTTCACCCAGTCAAACAGTGCAGCACTTATATCTGACTTCAGTCCTCTTTAAGGACTTCAGTGGGATATAAGTAGTGTTACGATGACTCTCAGTATAGGAGCAAACTTTACCCCTCCTGAATTGTACTTGTGCACTGACCTCTTTCAATGCAACTTAGATGGGAGGAGCAGGGGCCAGGCTCCTTATCTGTTCAATCCGCTAAATCTAATTACCTAGGCCAATGTTTGGATTCAACCAGGTTAATGTGCAGCCACATCTCTATCCTCCTCCTCCTCCTGTCTAACCAATATCAGGCATTGTTCTGTCTGTCAATGTTGTTCTGACGATTAGCAACAGATGTCTCAGTCAATGACAGTCAAAACATATTCCCCAAGACACTAGAAATGCTGCCTTTTATAATACTCAGATTCTGGATTTGCCGATTTGGCAACGAAACACATCATACCATTGAAGTATTTCACCTGGCTGTTTAGATCGTGTGGGCCAGCTCTTGCTCCTGCTGCAGTCCATCACAAAAACTCCCACTGACATCAATAGAAGTAGGATCAGGCCTTACATGCTCAAACACGTGCATGAAGTACCATGTTTCTGATTTTATACCATAGTTATTAATTCTTTGTTCACTCTCTTGCACTGTCCTTACTCAGACAAAATTCCCATTGAAAACAATGGGTGCTTTGGAGCCAATGGCAATTTTGTTTGAGTTAGGCCAGCACAATTTGCCCCTCTAACAACACAGATTCACATCTTCGATGTTGTCTCTCCATAAGTATTAATAATCCAGAATGTAAGCATGACTTTTGCACTTCACTCAAACCAGCTAGATGATGCCTACCTAAATCCAGAAACTGGAACACCATATGCATGGTGTATTTAACATTGGATGCATGATCCTCTAAGCGGAGAACTAGTATCTGACCCTTGTCGAAAACAGTCAGCCAGTCCAAGAGATACACAACATAAAGGCCAACCTGTAGCCTCACCTACAAAAAACAAACAAAAAAGTGGAGTTAATTCATTTATTCTATCTTGTATCAAAATTAATGAATATTCATCCCACTGTTCTCCACGGGAAGGAAAATCTATTTTGGATTTGATCTAGAATAAGATTTTAAAAATATGATGCCTAGAAAAAGTTTAAACCTTGATCATGTAGCTCTTATGCATGGAGTAGCGCTATTGACTTCAGTGGGGCTACTTACATAGTTAAATCCTTCAGCGTTGGACCCCTATATTTGTAAATTACGTCTCAATTTAGTAAGGGCCTGAGCCCATGTGCTTAGGGCCCTGTCCTGCTCAGTGCTGAGCACTCTGACCCTCAACCATTGAACTGAATAGGTATTCATGGAGATATTTAAAGCTAAACATATGTGTAAGTACTTTCACCTTCATCAGGGCCAAAAGGCACAAGGCTGAGCACAATGGTTGCTGAAGGCACTCAGCACCTTTCAGAAATGTCTTACAAACCTTATGATGTATTGGGGTTAGAATTTATTCCTCTATCTTATCAAACATGCATTCTGTAAGGACACTTCATACTCACAGCATTACCAAAGAGAAAATACTTCAATAAAACCTCTTATAATCAAAATATCTGCACCATCCTTCAGCTGTTGGACTATTCCGTAGAATGGCATGAACTGCTATGGCACACAACTCATTTTTTCAAGCCAATTAGAATGTGAGGAGATAATCTGTTAGCTTTTGCTTTATGAAGAATGATCATCGGACAGTTCGGCCTGGCAGATTCAACTTCACAAATGTCCAGAAGGAAAAGGACACCAACGTTATCTTAAAATGAAGATGGCGGAGGACTTGTGTACTATTAAACTATACTCCTGTTAGTCAATATTAGTAATTCCTAGAGAACCAAACAGATGCTCAGATGCTAAAGTTAGGAGCATGGCATAAATACCTAGACAGATTTAGGAGTACACCGTCTAACTGTTCAACAGAAGACTTACACTGTAGTATACCGTAGAGGAAAATATGATCGTTCTCTTTTATGTGAAGGGACACATTTTCAGTCTGGCGTTAACCTGGTCTCCATTTTTGCTCAATTTTGCACAACAACAGGCAACAAACATTTAAGGGTGCAGTTTAGGCTTCTTAAAACTCCAAGTTCCTGTTTGTGCCTGTGTTTGTTTCTTTTTTACCCGTTCAGACATAGAAACAGAAAGGAAGACTGCCTTTGATACAAGCTTGGTACATCTTGGAGTCACATTCAGTATAGAATTGATAAAAGCAGACAACGATGTCTTGTGCTCTTTTAGTTGACTTGAGTAATTGCAGTTATGACCTAAATACTTCTGAAAGAAGTCATGTTTTGAATCATTACTACAGCAATGGACAGATTAATTTTAATAACCTATAAAACAATCTTCACATCAATAAACAACATGAAGTCATTTGAAAAGAAACACTCTGCTTTCTGAATTGCCAGTAAAGCACAGAACATTAATCCTATCCTCCAACTACTGTCAGATCATTGTTATTAAATTAAAATTCCAAATCAAGAACACAAATGGAATATTTTGGTTTCTACTTTTATGAGATGACAAGTAGAGAAACTAATCTATGCAATCTGACTCAAAATCTATTCAAACTTAAAGAGCCAATTTTCCAAAGCAACCTCTGCATATGCACTTTCAAAAGTGCACATCTAAATTTTTGGGCACTTAAGTTTTAATGCCTGAGTTTTTGCATGCCAAACAACTTTTGGGCGCAAAGATTTAAAAACCGTGATTCAAAAGTTCTCTCAAGAAATTCAGTCCTTACTCTTGGCTCAGATGTTACGTGGAATATTTCCTTTCTGAGTAAACAGTTCCCACAGTTTATTAACTCCTTGTAGTATTAGTATTATTATTTCTTTGTACCATAGTAGTGCCCAGAGGCACAATCATGATCATTATGACCCATTATGCCAGGTACTGAACAAACATACAATAAAAGACAGTTCCTTTCCCAAAAATCTTACAATCTAATAATTATGGTTATCTTAGAAACTGTGACCTGACATTCGTCTTGGGCTGCTTGTCAGTTACAGGGTAACCTATGTAGCAAAATTCCTTATGTACATATTGAATATAACGCTATAAGCTCTAAATACTTTCTTTTAATTATTACCCTCACATATGATAGTATTACACAGGGCCACCCAGAGGATTCAGGGGGCATGGGGCAAAGCAATTTCGGGGGCCCCTTCCATAAAAAAAAGTTGTGATACTATAGAATACTATATTCTTGTGGGGGCCCCTGCGGGGCCCGGGGCAAATTGCCCCACTTGCCCCCGCCTCTGGGTAGCCCTGGTATTACAGGATCAGAGCCACATTATGCCATGCACTGTACAATCTTACAGCAAATCATCTATGTATATTCCTCATCTTTATTCCTCTTTCTCCCACCAGGATGGTACTGGGGCAAGTAAGAAACCAGTATCAGTTGTATAATGTAGGTTGGGATACAGTATTTTATAGCATTACTGAGCTTCTACCCAAACAGAGAATTCTGGGATAGAATCAACACTCACTTCATCCAGCAGGAACTTCAAATGTAAAAACCCTTTGTTGCCCAGGATAGTCACCTTCACTTCTCTTGGGACGTCTGAAAAATGGCACGATATACAGGCCTGTGTTTTGCCACTGTTGTTCCAAAACAAAATCCCCTTTTCAGGAAAGTCATTTGCTTCCCCCCTATAAATTATGCAATGCAACTGAGTATTTCCCAAAGAATCCTCCTTGACTGCAGTCTCTCCAATGTTAGTTTGACACCCCTGGCACTCCTTCCCTTTCTTTGGTTAATATACTTTCTATTGATGGTAAGTGAAGATAAATGGATGAACGCCCCTTCTCTGTACAGAGGGTTACCTATCAGCAGTGGCAATCTCTATGCTACTTGATTTTCTTGTCTCTTAGGAGTACTTTTTTCTGCTGTAGTCACACTAACCTAACATCCAAGGTCACAGAAAAAATCTACTCTTTCAATATATAACAAATTACACATATATAGACTTTGTCAACTATGCTTGAGAGGAAGCTGAAAAGTCCATTCAGAAGCCTGGCTAGAGTTCCATGCTTTATTAAGGATACCCATTGGTAGCTTTCTGGAAATATAAGTGATCTCAAAAGAAAGAACAATGAGTTAATTTTCAGAAGTACCTTCTTCAAGATGCTGTCTAAGAAGAGGAATAAACTGTGGGACAAATGATGATGGTCTAGGCACCTGGGGGAATACAAGGGGTCTGAGCAAGTGTATTCATGCCACAATGCAACTGCGTTTGTGCAAGGGAGACAGTTGGCAAGCACTGCATTACAGTGTGCAATTCCCAGAGTGGGCATGACTGGAGATGCTCAGAGCATGATAGTCGGTCTCTGAGGAGGGAGGAGACTGTTGTAGCCAATGATTTTAGTTTTTTGTTCATTTATTGTGTGATGTTATGATTAACTAATATGTTAGGTCATATATAATCATTGTATGCTAAACAGAGTTAAGTTGTAGGATTATAGAAGTATAAGATGGATCAGTAGTTAGAAGTGATAATTATGTATTAGGTATCTAAGTAAGTAGGGCTGAAACACAAGGCCTACAGGCTGAGACCTGTAAGATGTCATCTTATCCATACTAGGCCATAGGCTTAAGAAATGCTTGACATAAGCAAGTGACCAAAGGTACTGTGATACTGTGAAAAATTAACAGCAAAAGTAATTTTTTGCTTACAAGATACCCGGTAGTCACATTTTTCTAACACATGCCTTAGCTGCAGGGTACACTATGTGCATAAATGCTAATGAGGTTTAGTCAGAATCACATTATAAAAAGAGGGTGTCCAGATTAGGAAAACTGAGCTCCCTATGGGAAAACTCCAGCAGGAACCATCCCTATACCAATGATCAACTGGCAAGGCAGCCATCAGACCTTAAGGATATCATTAAGGATGTGAGTATAACTATATTTGCAACTTGTGCAGACGCCTTCATATGCATGGGTGTAGTAGGGTGCTGGTGCAAAAGCACCTAATTAGCCCCTGCCCAGTCAGCTCCAATCAAGGGAAGCAGATTGGGGCTGATGGAAAAGGCCTGATGCCGGCCTGAGCATTGGCAACACCTGCTGGCCTGACAAGCCAAGGGCTATAAAGGCTGGGAGGGAGCCAGAAGGTGGGGGGCAGCCAGAGAGAAGTCAGTCAGGGAGGGAACTGGAGGCCTCCTAGCTGAAGACTGACTCTGCCTGTAAAAGAGGTTGAATAATCCTGTAAAGCTTGTAAATAGATAGACACTGGTGATGGGATAACTGTAGGTAAATAAAGACACGGGTGTTGCACAACCCTGAAGCCTCTCTGAGCCTTATTGGGGCAGCAAGTGGGCCCCAGGAAGAGGGGCGGGTTGTGGGTAATCATAACTTTAATTGTAACTTTAATAAAACTTGTAAAACAGACTAGACCTTGTACTTGTAAATGTGGGAGTGGTCCAGATCCTTGGTCTTTGTGTTCCTAGAGACTCTAAATCTGAAACAAGTAGCAGAGGTGACTTTCACTCTGTTGAGCTTGAAACTGTTGCCACTAGAGCCGAACCCCTGCTGGCATAATATCACTTTACAAAATTCATTTTAAATAAAATAAAAGGAGACACTGTCTCTCTTTCAACTTCCATTTCTGGATGATCAGTATAGCAACGCTCAGGAACATGGGGCTTGAATCCCATTCCCAGTACGGGAAAGACTCCCACTGACTTCAAATGGTTTTGACTTGGGCCTATGATGCATGATTTCCTCTGAGATTACTTAGTAACTGGAGGAAATTATGATGAGATGAAATTTACTTCAATCTGGAGAGAGAGGAGGAGGAAAGTGTCCTTCCACCCAAATCAAGAAAATGGGAGGTAAAGGGCTAGATCACAGAGACCTGGTACTTTACAAGTGCATCCAACAGCAAACATGAGATACTGCTACGTATCTCCTGAATATATATATATATATATATATATATATATATATATAATAATTTCAAAAACCCTTTTATCACCCTCAAACAAAATATAAAAACAAATCAACACTAAAAATGTGAGTTTTGGAACAATCACACTGAGATTTAGCTCTGTGTTCTTTGCCAATATCTTATGTAATAGAATTTTCCCTTTTCTGCTGTGTACGGCTTAAAAAAGTGTGAGAGAGCATTTAATCTACCTATCAATAGCCTTTTCTTGGGGGGAAAAAATCCAGCATAAATGATGTATTCTTACGTGCAGTTCGGAAATTGCCTTATCTTTGCCAGAGCTATTTTTTGGATAGGTTTGCAAGTAAAGATTAAACTGTAATCTTTGCTAAATGTGCTCTTCATGCTCCTGCACACTAGAAAGAATGTATTATTACTGTTGGCATTCATCAGGGAACAGACTGAAGAGACAGCTGAGCCAGCACATCAGTTTTTACATGCATGAATATATTTTTATATCATCAACTAAAAAAAAAAAAAAAAAGGAAGAAAGCTTATTGGGAGTCACAAACTAAACCATGTCTTGATTATAATTATTATTAATAGTTTGCTAAGGAGCCTGGTATTTTAATAATCCAGACAAAATAGTCTGTTTTTTAAGCAAGGAATCAAATGTGATTGGAAATACATACAGGCATGGCATTGTTAAGGGTGTTGTTGTAGACACAGGCTCTCAGTGAGTAATCCAGCATGCAATTTTCAAACAGCTGCAGGGATTCTGCCACTTTTTCATGAAAGTCTTCTGCGGATTTATTCGCACTTGCAAAGTACAGATAATCCGAATACAATCTGTGAACGAAATACACGTGTAAATGATAAATAAAATTAAAGAAAATAAACTTAAATGATAATGAAAATAAGATAGCAACATTACTTGAGAAAACAGGCTGTGAATATAACCTTTATCCATTAGCAGCTGATCCAATACCTGCTGAAGTTGATTTCAGCGGGCTTTGGCTCAGACTTTACGGGTCCAATTAGGGTGACCAGACGTCCCGATATTTACCGGGACTGTCCCGATATTTACTTGTTTGTCCCGCGTCCCGACCGATGTTCGGTCGGGACGTGATTTATCCCGATATTTTGCGCTCTGGCGCACAGGCAGAGGGGGCTCGCACCCCCCCGCCCAAACTCCGCCCCCGTCCTCCCCCATTGGATCCCTCCCCAAATTCCCACCCTGGCCCTGCCTCTTCCCCAAGCACGCCGCATTCCTCCTCCTCACCCCTCCCACCCAGGCTTGCGCTAATCAGCTGTATGGCGGCGCAAGTGCTTGAGGAGGGGGGAGAATCAGGATGCGGCAGCCAGCTCAGGGGAGGTGGAGGCGGAGCGGAGGTGAGCTGGTGTGGGGGTGTGGGGCGTGGAGCTGCCAGTGGGTGCTCAGCCCCCACCAATTTTTCCTATGCTCCGGCTTTTCTTTCTTTTCTTTTTTTTTCCTCTGCCACCGGCTCTTGAGTTTTTTGTTTTTTTTCCCCTCTCTCTGACGGCACCACCCGCGTCCCGATATTTCACATCTCTCATCTGGTCACCCTAGGTCCAACCCTGTGAGTTGCTAAGCATCCTCCACTCTTATTAAGGTCAGCATCTAACAGGATTAGGCCCCAAGTAGTTAGGAGCCAATCCTTTTCTGAAGAGAAATTCTTGAAATATATCTTTTGGTTCATTCTGTATTAATTATTATTATTCTGTATTGCAGTAATGCCTAGAAGCCCCAACCAAAAAGAGCCCCATTGTGCTAGGCCCTGAATGTACCCATAGTAAGAGACAGACCCTCCCTTAAACAACTTACCGTCTAAACAGACAACATGGACAAGGAGTGGGAGAAGAAACTGAGGCACAGAAAAGTGGAGTGGACTTTTCCAAGACAGCCCGTAGGAGAGCTGGAAATAGAAACCAGGTTTCCTGAGTCCTAGTCCACACTGCCTCTCTGTATGCTCGGTATGCAGTGTGGTGAGGAGCTGTATCATGGCACAATCTGTGGTCTCACTCCTGCTGTCTCTATTCAGGCAAAGTTTCCATTTAGTTCAACAGGAGTTTTGCCAGAGTAAGAACTACAGGACCTACGGTCCACGTATATATGCAATACCAATATTATAAGCAACCATGCTGCACTATCTTGCTCTGCAGCTATTTCCTAGCCATCTCAGTCATACAAATCTGAATTACAGTGCAAATGGCAGGGCACACTCATTTCAAATATGAAATATTTGTGCAAATCATTTCAAACATTTATAGTTACTTAAATATTACAAGACAAAGATGACTTAAATTCTGGTTCATTTGGATGGAAATAAAAGTGTAAAATGAAATATTTATTTTTAATCCCTGGGACTCTGATTAGAATCTCTAGATGTCGACATCATTTTAAACAGAACATAAGGGAAATGCCAGGATGGGACATAAACAGAAGATAGTGTGTCATCCCTTGAATGAGATACATAAGTAATTTTCACTTGTTTGGGCTCATGAGATATATCCAGAGTCCTGAAAATTCTGCAGCACTTCAGAGCCAATTTCTGCAGCAAGGGTGAAAGTGCAGAAGTATTATGAGCCCAAAGAATCCATTCTTGGACACACAATTCCAGAGACCCTGAATACACTTCATTCTCCGTAAGTGCATATGTTTATGTAAATCATTATCTAAATGTAAAAGTGGGCTTTATTTCACAGCTATAATGCCGTAGGAACACTGAATCCACTTCCATCTTCAATGCCCTTCCCATTTTTATTATACCAAAAATATCAGGCTGGCCATAGATTTCCACATAAGCTTTAAAATACTACTATTTATTTAGAGAGGTTAGGCTCTGCTTCAGCAAAGCACTCCGCAAGTGAGCAGTTCCACTGGAGTCAAGCATGTGGAGCAGGGCATGTATTACAATATGAGTTTATGAACTCCTGCCTCAACTAAAAAATGGAAAGACAGAAAAGACAAATAAAAGGGTGAGACTGAGTAGAGGAGAGAGAGGTTGGAGGAATAAAAGGTTAGTGTTTCATATAGACAGAACCTTAATTACTGAACTTTTATGTTTGTTTTTAATTTCATTTTTACATATTCCGAAAATATTACTGAAAACTGTTGAGAAACTGATGATGAGACACTAAGAGCTCTGTGCAACCTTTACTCAAACGAGTGAATATGGGCTCATGCAAGTAGCCCTCTTGACTTCAAAGAGTATGTCTACACTGCAGCTGGAAGCATACCTCCCAGCCCAATTAGACGGACTTGCGCTCGGTCTGCTTGAGCTAGAGTGCAAAAAATAGCAGTGTGGACTTTGCATTGGCAGCGGCTCAGGCTAGCCACCCGAGTCCAAGTCCACCCGATACCCTGGATCTGAGCTCCGATGGCTAGCCCAAGCCACTGCCCATCCCACAATGTCCACATTGCTATTTTTAGTGTGCTAGCTGGATCAGAGCTAGTGCAGGTCTGTCTATCCGGACTGGGAGGCTCTCTCCTAGCTGCATTGTAGACATACATACCCAGTGCTTGCCTAAATAAGAGTTCACCAACATGAATAAGGCTTGCACAATCAGATCCTTAGCTAGCAATGTCAGGAGGAAGGACATGATTTGTATTTACTTCAAAATAATAGCCAAGCAAAAGATAACCTGTAGCTGTCTGTCACCAGAGACCCAATTAAGAGCCCTGTCCTGTATGGTTTCTAATTTTTGGCCACTTCCCAGCCCAGCAATTCTGTTAGCAGATTGCAGAGAATTTCCATAGAGAAATATAGATCTTGTTTGGAAAATTTAACTAGTAGGCAGTCAGAGCTTTCTGCTATTACATTTCTGCTCCTTGGCAAAATTTCAAGTCTGCATCAATTCCTCTAGATTTATCTGCAGAAGGGGTCTGGGAGTGGGCCTACATTACTTGCATCTTTCTGTTTATGTACTGAAACAAAATTGGTTCATGTGTGTTGTTGAAGTTAACAGTGTTTAGCAATATTCTACAACAACAGGAGGGAGGATTAGAATTCAAAATGACCTTAATAAATTGGAGAATTAATCTGAAAACAATAATATGAAATTCAATAATGACATGTGTAAAGATCTGCACTTAGGAAGGAAAAATCAAATACACAAATACAACATGGAGTATGACTAGTTAGGCAGTGGTACTGCGGAAAAAGGGCTTTTGGTGGATTACAAATTAAATGAGAGTCAACAGTGTGATGCTGCTGTAAAAAGAGCAAATGTCACTCTGGGTTGTATAACAGGAGTGCTATATGTAAGCCATGGGAAGTAACTGTTCTACTCTACTCGGCACTAGTGAGGCCTTAGCTGGAATGTCCAGATTTGGGCACTATACTTTCAGAAAGATGTGGACAAACTGGAGACAATCCAAAGGAGAGCAATAAAAATAGTAAGAAAACATGACCTATAAGGAAAATTTGAAAAAATTGGGCTTGTTTAGTCTAGAGAAGAGAAGACCGACAACGGATGTAACATCTTCAAATATGTAAAAGGTTGTTATAAAGAGGACAGAGATTAATCACTGTTCATATCCAAAGGGGGTAGGAAATGAAGTAATCAGTTTAGTTTGCAGCAAGGGAGATTTAAGTTAGATACACCTCTACCCCAATATAACGTGACCCAATATAACACGAATTCGGATATAACGTGGTAAAGCACTGCTCTGGGGGGGCGGGGCTGCGCACTCCAGTGGATCAAAGCAAGTTAGATATAACGCGGTTTCACCTATAACATGGTAAGATTTTTTGGCTCCCGAGGGCAGCGTTATATTGAGGTAGAGGTGTATTAGGAAAAACTTTCAAACCATAAGGATAGTTAACCACTGGACCAGCTTACCTAGGGAAGTTGTGGAATCCTTCTTGGGCTTTTTAAGAACAGGTTAGATACACATCTGTCAGGAATGATCTAGGTATACTTAACTCTGCCTTGACATAGAGGGACAGACTAGATGGCCTCGTTAGGTCTCTTCTTGCCTTACATTTCTGATTGTACACAGTCATAGACACATTTCAATGCTCTGTTTAAGGACTGCTTATAAAATTTCTCATGGCCACCAATGGATTTAGTCCTGCTATTTTTGATTATAGGAAATACTGACACTTTTTAAAGTATCAAGCTCCTCAGCCTCTCTACTTCAAAATCATTCTTCTCTTTAAGGAGAAGGCCATAGAGTTAAAAGTAAGCAATAATTGTAACTGTATGATTCTCAAACACATTATTCCAATCCAGTTGTGGAAACACCAGGTCTCTTCTAAGGAATGTGTTGACAAGATTCCATCATGAGAAGTGAAGGGAACAGGCTTCTGGCAGGAAAAATCCTACTATCCATCCTGAAATGGCTCAATTCCCCCTCCTAGCACCTGAGAGACAGAACCAAGGCTCTACATATTTCCCATCCATCTGCACAGGTGAGGAGGGAAATACCAGTTGAGCAGCCAAATGTTAGAGAAGGGTTGTAGGAAAGCCATGAAGATGTAGGGGGGTGGGGGATCTTACTCTCTCACAGGCCTCCATGCAGTCCTGTAGGGTCAGGCCACAACCTGCTCCTAAATAAACTGATTAGTGTAATCTGATTTTCTTAAAAAAAGAAGTGTGGTCATTGTCAGAGTAGAAGGCACCAGCTCTTAGTGTTTGGCTGATGAAAGCAGGCAGGGAAATGTATGCCCCTGTAAGCCCCTATTCACTGACAAGAAACAGCCACAAAGTATTTGGCTGCCCCTAATATTTTGCTGCCTCAGGCATCTATCTGTTCTGGTGTTTATGGAAGATCTGGCTGCAGAATGGAGGATATGAGAAAAAGATGGGAGAGAAGCTGAGGGACAGAAACAGCAGAGTTTAGTGAAATGTGGTAGGCATTAAGCACACAGCAGTATCTTCTCCTTGCAGAAATACATGTGCGTGTAAAGACCGCTGTTTGCTAATGGCACGTTAACAAAAACCCTAAATGAGGATCAGGCTGGAAGTATTTCTCTCCAGGAGAATAGGATCAAGCTGACAGCTCTTGCCATCCAGGGTATGGAGGACAGGCGCTCGCAGGAGGAACTGAGCCAGCAAGAATCATTTTGAAGATGAGCCATAACTGCAGTTTGTTTAAAATGTTTAATTTTTCTGATAATTTGTTCTAATTATCCAATTTAAAAAACATTATTTTAAAGAGCTGCTGACACCTTATGGAAAGCATCTCTCTCTCCACTCGGCTGCCTCCATTTTCTGTATTTGTTTTCCATCTGTTTTTCAATTCTAGGGACATCTGCATGAAAATAAAATCTTTGTTGATTAGGATTTCAGCTGCTCCTGGTACTTATTGCTCACTTGAAGTCATTATCCTCAATCATAATCTAACACAATTAAATAATGTGGTGATGACCATTATGTCACCCACAAAGGATTATGAAACAAGTCAACCCTGATATAAGCAGGTGCGACTCCTATTGAAGTTAGTGGGACAGTTTCTGATCTCAATTACACTGGGAGTTTTCCCATTGACTTCATTGGAAGCAGAATCAGGCCCTAAATGCAGAATGACTGTATTGAGCCAAACTCTCCCCCCCCCCCCCCCCCAAAGGACAGAATAAGGGGCTCGTGCGCTGGAGTAGCCCTAAATTGTACTGGTTGTCCAAGGCCCATATGAGCCTTGCAGCAGCTGAAGACAAGCCTGGCCATACCCCTTCCCGTGACCCTGACTGCACCAACATATTCCAGAATGCCCTCTGTATCAGCAGTCTCTTAATGTTATTGACAGCAGAATCTGGACCAATGAGAGTTGCAGCCATTTATGACAGGGCTAAACTTGCTCTTATGATTTCAGATGAGGCACAAGCAAAAAGGGCAAATGAAATCCTAAATATACAGAATCTAGTTCCCTGTAAATACAGAGTTAGTGAAATGGAACTCACTTTTTGTCTCACCCATATTACAACTGGCAACGTGAAACACCCATATTACAGAGGGTGATTAAAGTAATGAGAGAATTGTGGATAATTTACCTGAGGGAGGTACTTCAACGAGCTCTCTTGCATAAAATTACCATGTCTTAAACCTTAAGGTCAGGAGGCACATTTAACAGTTGGGAAATGCATTTCTCAACACAGAGGATAGGAAGAGCTGGCATGGCTCTTTACTGCTGACAAACAGGGAGGGGCCACTCTGGCGGTTCCTGTTCTGCGAAGCCCTGATGTCAGGAAATCTAGTCAAGAAGAAACCACAGCAGATGACCTGCCACCTAATACCATGCAACCTGACTGGATATGCCAGCATCAGGGGTGGAGCTCATGTGGCGCTCCTGGGTTAAACATTTCAGTGCCAACTCCCACTCTCCTCCACCAGAGAAAGTGGAAGGGATGTGCCCTGCTTTATTATGAAACATGTTCAGAATGCCTGCCTGGGATGACTTCTTATTAAATATTTATATGTCGATTGATGTAAATCAAAGCAATTTAAATAACTGATTTTAACCATGATTTCAAATCAGCAAGCAGGAAACCTTGATTTAAGTCATGCTTTGCATTTGTACTTTAGTTATTTTTCTAAAGAGAGTTTGATTCTTATTGGTTGATACCAATAAACCATATTGTTTTGCAATTAAATATAGCCTTCACACTAATTTTGGTGCTTCATTTCGCTAACAAGGAGGATACACACACAGACATACATATACCCCCATACACAATTATTTAAGTAGTTATCTCACTTATTTATTCAAATTCCTAAATTTTTAATTTGTTATAAAATGGTGAATGATGCATTCTTTAGTTACTAGAAGGTGATTAATTTTTACTTGGGATTTCTGTCAAGTTATATTTAGATGGAAATTCAAATAAATATGCACAACAGCAGCATTTAAGGTTTTTTTATTAAATAAAAATACTGTAAAAGAGCTGGATAAATAAGGGGGGGAAATTATCTAGAAGCTTATCAAAACATGTTTTGCATTTAAAACTAACTGATTTATTACACAAAAGGAAGTATTATCAGTAGTTAGTGAATTGAACGGATTGTTCTGATTAATATGTCCTTCAAGATGTTAGAACTAGTAGATCTCATCCTCTCACAACTAGTTTTTATTCATATGCTGGGAGAAGGAAGCAAGCATTCCCGCTTTTACAACTCCCAATTGGTTTCTTAACTTTTAATGAACTAGTCATTGAACTCAGCTTGTTGAATAAACTGAAATAAAGAAAATATTCTCTCTGCAGCTGCAAAAGAGGCTACTGTTGTGAAAAGCCGGTTTTGCATTTCAACTAACTTTGGTTCCAAGTGCTTATCTAGCGGCTTCCACCAGTTCAGTAGTTTGATAATTATTTTATCAACATTGTGCTAGGAACCATGCACTAAACTAGATGTGGAGGAAGGAGGTGATGGGTGAAGACTAGCCCTTTAAAAATTGGCAGCACACGTGTGTTGCTTAATATTTTTTGTATTTAAATAACTTTAATAGATTATAATAAGTTTAGGCTTTAGCATAGGTTGTCAATTTCCAATTGCATTTTAATTGAATTGTATTATGTTAGCACCCAAATATCCCAATGGGGACCCATTGTGTTGGGTGCTACACAAACATACAAGAGACATTCCTGCCCTGAAGGGCTAGTCTTCACCTATCACCTCCTTCCTCCAGATCTAGTTTAGTGCATGGTTCCTAGCACAATGTTGATAAAATAATTATCAAAATTTACAGGACAGGAGAGAAGATGAGGTTTGCTCTTCCCTCTGTTGATGAACTGGAATTTCACTGTTGAGGTTTATCTCTGACTTAGTTAAAATTGAAGAAAACTCTGCAAGGGTAATAATAGGATCCCACCCAGTAATCACCTAATAACATTTAGCTAGTTCATGTAGATACAGGAACTGATTAAGACATACCCATAGTGCCTATGTCTACACTGCAATTAAACAGGCACGGCTGGCTCATATCACCCGACTCAGGCTCGTGTTTAATTGTGGTGTAGACATTCAGGCTCAGGCCCCTAATTAAACAGCTCCTTAGCCAAGCCACACAAGCCTGTCAGCTTGCACAGGCCAGCCATAGGTTTTTAATTGCAGTGTAGACATATCCTATGGGGCCAATCCAATGCCAACTGAAGTCAATGGCAGTCTTCCCACTGGTTCAATGGGTGTTGGATCAGACCTCAGAGGCACAAGCCTAGTGTCTCAGCTCAAGAGTTATGTGATGACATCAGCTGATGAGCCTCAAAACGTGACTCAAGTGATATCAGTGCCTGAATCTGTAGACAGCCTTTAACTATAGTTCTCCTCTTAAATGGGAGAACTGCCCCATGCATTTTAATGGGTTATTAATTCAGTATTCTGCTGTTCTGGGGGACTCTGCCAACACTCACCCAGAGGGACAGTATGCGTGGGTAGCCCTTGCTGCCATCACCCTATAATGTTTTTTCTGGGGTGATAGCCTGCCCAAACAAACATGTTTGTGGGACCCCACCAGCATAGAAGATGCCTTTTATGTGGGTGAGCCATGGCAGTGTGGCAGGACACACTGTAACCCATGAAGCAAGCATCAAGGGCTGGAATGACTTGGTGCAGCCCTGTTTTGGATAGCCTCTTTAGAATGATGTGCTTCCCCTAACCCCCATTTTTGCAGCCCTCAATATATTGCCTTTATCTTTAGTGCTACGTATCTGGCCAGATGTGTCTAAATCAGTAGTAAAGGAGAACTAACGTCAAAAGTTCTCCAGTGCTATAGAAAATGGAGAAAGTACACCACTGTAGATTCTCGCCACTTATGTGTGGCATTAGAGGCTGCCCAGAGAGGCATGGCCCACAACCACAAGCTACAGCATACATGGGAAACTCTGGCCCAAACTGTGTGGTTCTTATAGCACCAGCGAAGACTGTCTACTCTTTCACTAACCTCTCAGGTCCCCTCACCGCTTTCCTGGGCAACTTAGGGACCTTGTCCTTGAAGGATGGTGAAGCCCTAGCCTGCAGATGGTTGAACTGCCCTGAAAATGTATATTTGACAAAATGTGTTGTTGCCATGAAGGGATGTTAGCAAGAGGATCATGCGGCACAGCTTCAGGTCTGATACCCAGGGCCTCTCTTCTTTGCTTTTGCTACCCTCTGCACCACACAGAAAACGGGAGCACAATTCATAGACATCCCCCTCTACTGACAGCCTGCTAGGGCACAGCTGCCCAGGGAAGAGCTAAAACATAAATGGAAAAAAAGGCTGTTTGTATCTAATACACAGGAAAAATAGTTCAAGAACAGTTTATCTTTGTAAAAGTTCAACCCCATACCACTGCCAAAATCAGCAAGACCGAGGATGACCTGTTAAGTAAGTGTTAGCTATGGAAGTTAAATATGCCCCAGACATTTTAGCTTAGTACTGTACCAAGTCTTTCCAAGATTTTAAAAAACAAAGAAACAAAGAAACGTGTATAATTTGCTTAGTTGTGGGCCATTCCCAATCTTCCTTTTAAATATTCTGCCCCTTTGGAGATGTAAACCCTACTACCCATTGTTTCTAATTTGAACTGAAGCACTACACAGTGCCAGTAATTTTTTTTTCAAATGTTATTAAAATTGAAAATTCCAAAACACTTGGAACAAAGCCATAAATATTTACAAAATCTAAAGTTAATTATAAATCAATAAAGCTACAGGGGTTTTACAAGTATTAACACTTATACCAGAAAAGAACTAGACCTCAGGCATATAAACAGTATAAGTACATTTATTATATCTTAAAAAAAAAAAAAAAAACCACCCTTGTTTCTAGTGAGAAAGAATTCCACGCATTGCTTTATTGCTAACCTTTCAACAGGATCCCTCAGCATGACGATAAGTTTGGCATGGGGCTGGAAAGCATGGATGAAATCCTGGATTAAAAATGGAGGTTCTCCATCAGTACTGTTGTCATAGAAGAAAACCCAGGCATTGTTATCCCACATTGTAGAAGCACTGGCCTCTCCTAGAAATGACAAGTATTTACAATGAGTATCTGTGAGTAATTTTTTTTTCTTTACATTGGCACAAAAGATGTAGATCCTGATCCTCAGCTGATGTAAATCAGTCTGGCTCCATTGACTTTCATGGCCTTATGCTGATTTACGCTGCCTGAAAATCTGGCCCATGTTTCTGCAGAATCAGGAAGCTCTTAGTTAAAGACACTTTTATATAATTACACAAATTATCACTGTCATTATGCTGTACTTCTGAAAATGGTTGATGAATATGCAAATATATTTAACTTTAAAAGGGTGTGACCAATTATGTAATGGACAGAATTTGTACTCTAGTGGTAGTAGAGCTATTTCCCCACAGCCTGCATCCAATTTAAGAGCCGTGTTAGCCCCAGATGCATCGGAACCAGTGTTGTCCTGCTGTGTGGGAAGAGGGCAGGAAATGAGGAACCCAGACAGACAGTGGGGGCTCCATCCATCCTATTGCACAGAGGTGTTTGGGGGGCCAAGCAGCTGTCCAGGGCATGGGTGCAGGCATAGGCATGAGTCCATATATTCATGAATCTACCCACCGAGGAAGCAGTTGACAGCAGCTACAGAAGCTATAGTAACTGCGACAGAAAGCCTCTGAAAATAATCTGCAGCCTTTCATCTATCTAGGCAGCCAGCTATCCCGCAGACATAAGCATGGTGTCTGAACAATTAAGATATTCCTTCTCGCCTTTGCTCCTTTGGAACTCCTCTGCACAACAACCCATATAGGACCAGATTCTGCCATCCTTACCTACAAGAATAAGAATAGTGGAGTCTAGTCCTTACTTTGGCTGTGGATTTGGGCCCACATGTTTACTTTTGTATACATGCTCTCAGTTTACTCATTCAGGAGAGTGAACTTTAAGCTAAAGATGCTGGTTTTGTGCAGTTAATTTAGTATAGCTTGTGTTCGGAACCAAAACAGGATGACTGTGAGGAACTAAAAGGAAAAAGAAATTAATTCCTACCCATTTGACAGTGTCTCTTTACACATAATACAGATTTAATATCTGTAAAGAGGGTACCCTATTCAACACATGTTGAATTAATCACTGTTATATCCATTGCATTTATATAACAAATTATCATAGCACAATCAAATATATACTAATTTTTCATATGGACTTAAAGCACATACTTCATGATTAAACTGCCTACTTTCATTAAAGAATAAATTTACAGTGTCCTTATCCTGAGATTAATGGAATAAAATCATGTCACGTTTTCATAAAACATTCTTGTGAATTTATCAGATTAATGATCATAAATAAAAAAGTCCTGCTTAGAATGCCTGAAGCTAGAACAGCAGTGTACTCTACAGGTCTTCTAAAGATCTACTGTTTTATTTGCGAAAATATATTACCTAATAAAGATATGACTCAAAGATTGTTAGAATTTGAAAATACTGTTACATGACAAAGTTAAAGGAATGTTTATAGTTTTAATTAAATTTCCCTTTTTAATAATCTGAAGTTTAACAATGCAGCATTCTAAGGAAACCTGATTTTCATACATAAAGTAGACTGTCTCTAGACTAGATTGTTTTTTACTGAAGTCATAAAAAACTGATTTAATGAGCATAATAATTCAGAATTTTTCCTGCAAACTTAATAAGGGCCAAAGTAACCTTAGCGATAAGGGAACTGAGACTACAGAACAAACAGGAACTCTAGAAAAAGCTGTAACAAGAGGTAAAAGTACTTAAAAATGTACTCTGCTAATTTAAATAAGTGAACTGGGTTTATCTAAGCATTTCACCCGTGAAAGTACTGTAATATTGTAATATACTGTAGTACTGTAATATAAATAGCAGGAATATCTGCAGATGTCCCTGATGGCAGAACTTCACAGGACCGAGGACTGCAATCTTGCCAGGCACAGAACATCCATTTAGGTAAAGGAAAGCAACCTGCCTCCAGAGGAAAACAAATAATGCACCTATCTGTAGACAGGGGCCTTACCTGACATCAAATGGCCCTCTGCTATGATTAACTTACCGCAGACATAGAACACTTTGATTAAGCTTATTTTACCATCGCTATAAATGTTACAACTAATTTAGGACCATATTTTCATAAGTAGTATTTGCAGTACCAATGATGATGTGGTTCATCTTGCTGTGCCCTTTTGTTACATCACTCTGTAACACACCCTGAATCTGATATGCAGCCAAGTCAAACAGATCAAGGTAATCTTCCACTGGGTAGCGATCATGAAATCCATCCCTCAGACGAATTATTCCTAAAAACAAAACCCTAATGAGTAAAAAAGAAGCTAGAAAATTAAACTCAAGAGCCAAATCCACAGTTGGAGTTAATCAGCAAAACTCCATTGACATCAATAAATCTACAGCATTTTACACCAGCAGAGAATTAAGTCAAGGAGCATAACGTTAAGATAAAATGGCAATTATGAAGTAGTTGTGATTCAAGATACTAGAATACTAAAATATAAATTCATGCCGAGAGGAAATATTTTAAAGTGCTATATTTTATAGACCCTGAATGAATAGCTTGAACTTTCCTCTAAGTTTAGCTTTTGAAATGAACATAGAGGGCCAGATTCTGCTCATTTACACCGGTGAAAACTGGAGTGACTTCACTTTGGATTTACACTGGTGTGCCTGAGAGCAAAATCTGGCCCTGAATCTGTCAATTACAAAATCAGCAGATTAACAACACTGACTGTCTTCCAAATTTGAAGAAAACAGCACCTTTCTGCAATTCTTGGCTTTGACAACAATTTTGCCTGAGGGTGAATGGATTTCACAGACACTTTCAAACAAGATGGGAAGGGGGAATTAAAAAATTTGGAGGAGATGTTTTGTTTATTAATTCTTTTCACCTACCAATCTAATTAACAGTAATAGTAAATTGAACTGGTAACAAAATGATATTAAGGTATAATTCCTATTTTATTCTTTTGGGGTGGATCCAATTTCTGTGAAAGCCAATAGCAAAACACTGTAATCCCTATGCTACATTTTCCTCTACATGCACCTTGCAGTATCACCAGCCCTCATTCTTCATCTCCAGCATCACCAGCCGCTCTTAGGTATCCTCTGCTCCTTTTCCCTTTTTGTGCCTGCTCTCTCCACTTGTTCCTGATCCTCTTCCCATTTCCCTATTCCATCTTGTGTATTCCCCCCCATTCTCTGCATTCCTGTTCTTACTCTAGAGATTAGTAAGGCCCAGCTCTGAGAAGCTGCCCTTGCCTTACTTTGATTTACACATCCTGGCTCTTCAATTGCAAATTACGCCAATTTAGATCTATGGGAGTCTGAGTGCAAGGGAGTCTGTTAATGTAAGGAAATCTAACGTTACACTTCACCTCAGAATTTGGCCCTGTCTCTCCCATATGCACCATCCTGGCAGACACAATCAGCTAAGATGCTTTGGCTGACAAGCCCTACATTTAAACATCTGGAGATTAGAAGCAGGGTATTCTCTGTGGAAGGTTCTAGGAACTGAAATTCACTCCCTCCATTGATCTGACAGAACTTGAGCCTATTAACCATCAGGTCATGATATAAGGCTTATCATTTATTTCCAGGCTTTTACCTGAGGGGCTGACTGTGAAGAATGAATTTGATTTTAATAGATTTTTAAGACTAGGAAAGAATGCATTATGATCATCTACTATGACTTTCTGCTTTGTACAGCCCATAGAATTTCACCCAGTGATTCCTGAAGTAGAAGGAATTGTTTCTTTCCTATTATGTCTAATTTGGTGGGAAATCTATTTGAGGGTGACATTGTACTTGTGCTATACTGTGTGATTCCTAAATTATGACTGTGCACTCAAAATATCTGATGAGCACATTTTAGAAATCTAAATGTAATAATAAATTAAATACATTATTTATGGTAACAGACAAGAAAAACTAATGAGGAAAAGGAGATATCTACCTATCCTTTTCTTCATTCGTTTTGTTTCCCTGTGTGTATGTGTGTGTGTGAATACACACAAATACAAAATGTGTGTGTAAACAGATATAGATACCTCCTTTTCCACGTATGTGTGGGGTCAATATTTATATGTCTAGCCAGAGAAATGCAGAGCGTTTCCAATCTCCATTCAGCCAAATACTGAAATCCTAACTCAGGTTTTACTCAGTCGTCACTCAACGATATTTATATAAATAAACCATCTGTGGTATATATATGAACATTAAACAAAATATCACAGATGTTATTAGAAGTGAATCAGGAAAGTTGGGCTTTTCTAAGGTCTAGTCTACACTACAGAGTCAGGTCCATGCAAAACAGCTTACATCGACCGAACTATGGAAGTTTCTACACTTACGTCAGCAAGAGTGAGATTAACTGCCCTGTTATGCCAACTTAATAACTCCACTTCCATGAGTGGCATAGAGTCAAGGTCAATGTAGTTAGGGCAACGCAGTGTCAGTGTAGACACTGTGTTGCTTATGTTGATTGTTACCAGCTTTCAGGAGCTGTCCCACAATGCCCCACACTGACAGTACAATCGATACAAGTGCTCCTGGTGAGGACGTGCACTGCTGACACAAGGAGCAAATTGCAGACATGCACAAGCGATGTAATTACTGTGGTGACTGTACGGCAATATATGTTAAGGCAACTTAATTTTGTAGTGTAGGTATGGCCTAAGTCTGAGCCAACTTTCTACTGAGCTGCTGCTCCACAAATGAAACACTGTTATGTGTTCACTAAGGGCTACTTTTCCAAGGAGTTTAAAGAAGAAAACAAATAAAATCTAAAAAGGGCACATAACCATTTCCCTGTGCAGGATATAGAACCCCAGCAAAATAAAAAGATAAATACATTAGCAGAAAAAGGATATGCTTTTAAACCAAACTAAGGTATACAATCATAGAATCATAGAAATGTAGGACTGGAAAGGACTTTCATAGGTCATTTGGTCCTTCCCCTGCATTGAGGCAGGACATAGTACTATGTAGTCCATCCCTGGCAGGTGTTTGTCTAACTTGTTCTTAAAAACCTCCAATGACAGAGACTCCACAACCTTCCTAAGTAATTTATTCCCGTGCTTAACTACCCTTACATTTAGGAAGTTTTTCTAATTTCTAACCTAAATCTCCTTGTCTGCAATTTAAGCCCATTGCTTCTTGTCCTGTCCTCAGTGGTTAAAAGAACAATTAATCACCCTCCTCTTTATAACAATTTTTACATACTTGAAGATTTATGCTCCCCCCCACCCCCGGTCTTCTCTTCTGTAGACTAAACAAAACCAGTTTTTCCCTCGTAGGTCACGTTTTCTAGGCATTTAATCATTTTTGTTGATCTCTTCTAGATTTTCTTCAATTTAGCTACATCTTTCCTGAAGTGTGGTGCCCAAAACTGGACACAATACACCAGCTGATGCCTTGTCAGTGCTGAGTAGAGGGGGGAGAATTACTCCTCGTGTCTTGCATGCAACGCTCCTGCTAATACATCCCTGAATGATGTTTGCTTTTCTTGCAACAGTATTACGTTGTTGATCCATATTTAGTTTGTGATCCACTATAACCCCCAGACCTGTTTCTGCAGTACTTCTTCCTAGGCAGTCATTTCCCATGTGGTATTTGTGCAGTTGATATTCCTTCCTAAGTGGAGTATTTCACATTTGTCCTTATTGAATTTCATCCCATTAAATTCAGACCATGTCTCCAGTTTGTCAAAATCATATTGCATTCTAATCCTGTCCTCTAAAGCACTTACAACCCCTCCCAGCTTAATATCATACACAAACTTTATGAGTGTACTCTCTATGCCATTATCCAAATCACTGATGAAGATAATGAATAGAACCAGACCCAGGACAGATCTCTTTGGGATCCCACTCGATATGCCCTTCCAGCGGGATTGTGAACAATTGATAACTACTCTCCGACTATAGTTTTCCAGTTAGTTGTGCACCCACCTTATAGTAGGTTTATCTAGGCTATATTTCTCTAGTTTGTTTATGGGAAGGTTATGTGAGACAGTACCAAAAGCCTTACTAAAGTCAAGATATAACACATCTACTGCTTCTTCCCACCCTCCGCCCCCCAGCATACACAAGTCTTGTTACCCTGTCAAAGAATATTAGGTTGGTTTGACATGATTTGTTCTTGACAAATCCATATTAACTGTTGCTTATTACCTTATTTTCTTCTAGGTGCTTGCAAATTGATTGTTTTGATTATTTGCTCGATGATCTTTCTGGGTACTGAAATTAAGCTGACTAGTCTATAATTTCGTGAGTTGTCCTTATTCCCCCTTTTTTAGATGGGTACTATATTTGCCCTTTTCCAGTCTTTTGGTATCTCTCCCCTCCCTCCACAGATAATACTCCTCTATCATTTTATCAAAAGTTAATGGGGGACTTACTTATAACTTGAAGAAGGCACTACTCTCTGAAGAGTTATGCTTCCATTTCAGTAACTGCGGTTCTTTTGAAACGTTAGAACCTATGTTTACTCACCAAATCGCTTCCTTGTCCACCAGTGTGGTTCTTTAATTGCTGAGAATCTAACATCTGGGTGTAACCTGAGCCTGTCATAAAGATCGGTCGTTCCACATTTTGGCTGGCCTATTATGTAGAAATGAGGAAGACAGCGCAGCCGATAGTGCTTATCCTTATAATGATACAAGTGGTTCCAAAATACTTTTCTGAGGTAATCAAATATGGTCCGAAAACGCTTTGAATACAGTGCATATGAGTTTGTTGTGTAAGGATCTGTTGTAGTATTTCCTCTATATTCTTCATACCAACAAGGATTCTTGCTATTTGGAAGGAATTTATTAGGAATTATTGAAAACATCTGCAACATAAAGAACAATAATTTCAGTCAAGGCAGCAGCAAAGTTTATAATGACACTTTCTTATTTATCACAATGCAACCATCATAATCTTTCTACATTTTTTTTTTTTGGCAATTGCACAACTCTGCTGTTGACCAAACTGGAGCCAGATCCTGCACAGCTGCATGAGGTGGAGAGAGGGTGCAGAGCCAGATGGAGAAGGGAGAATATTCATACACTCATCAATTTTAAGGCCAGAAGGGACAACTATGATCATCTAGTCTGATTTCCTACATAACACAAGCCATAGCATTTCACTCAGTAATTCCTACAGTGGAGGAATACTTCCTCCAGAATCCATAAGCGAATGTGATAAATCTCAGCAATTTATGGTCAAAGTACTACACTTAAGCAAGAGCCATACAATGCCGCTCAGCTCCCCTCTGGAATATGCACCTCTGTACAAACCCAATGGCTGCTGGCACTTTTAGAGTCCAGCCCAATTCCTGTCAAAGACAATGGAAAGGCTTCCAGTGACATCAATGGGGATCGGCTTAGGTCCTAAAGAAACAACTGAGCCCAGAAATATTTAAGAATAAAACTGAACATATTTTCCATTGTATCACTTAATACCAGAAGTATTTTTGGGGAGGGTGCTGGGGGGGAGGGGTAATGAAGGAAAAGATTGAGGACAAAATCAACGTAGTAAAAAAACACCTTCTGCTGTTAGCTCTATTGGGTCTAGCCAGAAGCACTGTATGACTCTTGCTTAAGAGCTGTACTTCAACTACAAATTGAGCACCTCTAGCCTCCATTTAGCCAAATCCTGAAATCCTGTCTCATGTTTTACTCAGTCTTCACTCAGGGATCAATCCCATTTCTGACTTTAGTGAAAGACTTCCCAATTTAGCCCATTGACTTCAATGGGAGCGGAGATGCTCAGCCTTCTCAGAATCAGGCCTTATCTTTATGCTGCAAGCGTAGCTAAACTCTATGAAGCCTGCTGGAATCCGTAGTACTACTTAATTTAAGGAATCCTTAAAATAAGCTTGCAAAGAATAATAATTAGTAAGACTGATAAAAAAAGCCAAAGATAAAATAATTGGATGAAATTAACTTCCAGTTTTTAATTCTGAAATACAAGATTTGCATGAGTGATTGGAATACCAATTACTAGATTTCTGGGAAGGCACTCTAGCAATCAGTTATTAAGGGAGGCTGTTTTTTATTTATCAGTTAAATGTTTTGGCACATCTGACTAACTCCTCTGAATTATTTTGAATAAAACGACAAGGAATAAGTTCAATATAATTGTACTACTCATGCAAGATTGTCAGACTTCTTTTCTCAGATGTTCAGATCATTTATATAATCCATCTGTTTTGCCTATGGCTCAAATACAAATCACACCCACACACAGAGAAACGTGCATGGAATAACAGCAAATTATTGACTAAGGTGAAGATGCGAATTTACGAGACTTGTGTGCGGTCATCCCTGCTTTATGGTTCAGAAACGTGGACTACATATGCTAGGCACGCACATCAGGAAACTGAATAGTTTCCACATGAGATGCCTGCACAAGATCCTGAAAATAAAGTGGGAAGACAAAATACCAAACACAGAGGTGCTGGAGCGCGCAGACTGACACACTTAGAAACCACTATCCAGAAGAAGAGGTTGCAATGGCTTGGTCATGTCAAGAGAATGGGAGAAGACTGTATCCCCAAGAATATTTTGTACACCGAGTTTCGAGACGGCTCTAGAAAGGGGGGTCACCCTTTATGTGGTACCACGATGTGTGCAAAAATGACATGAAGTTGTTCAGCATAAATGTAGAAAGCTGGGACGAGCGCGCAGAATCCCAGTGCAGAACATCTGGCACTGGGTGCAGCTCAACATGAAGCAGCTTTGATCTAGAGCAGGGATCGGCAACCTTCGGCATACGCCTGGTAAGCACCCTGGCAGACCGGGCCGGTTTGTTTACCTGCCGCGTCCGCACGTTCGGCCGATCGCCACTCCCACTGGCCGCGGTTCGCCGGCCCAGGCCAATGGGGGCGGCGGAAAGCAGTGGCCAGCACATCCCTCGGCTTGCGCCGCTTCCCACAGACCTCATTGGCCTGGGACTGTGAACTGCGGCCAGTGGGAGCTGTGATCGGCTGAACCTGCGGACGCGGCAGGTAAACAAACCGGCCCAGACCGCCAGGGTGCTTACCCTGGCGAGCCGTGTGCCAAAAGTTGCCAACTCTTGATCTAGAGGATGGAAGCAAAGCAAGAAAGAAGAAAGCAGCGTGCTGTAATCTTGGACTACAACTCAGACAACACATGGAACTGTGAAATTTGTAACAAGCTGTGTCACTTTCGTTTGGGCTTGTCAGCCGTAAGTGGATTCATCAGGCACTTGATTAGACCTCTTATGCATACACCATGGTCCAGTGGATCGACAGTTGCATATTATACATATACAGATAAATATATCTATCTGTAGGGAAAAGACTGCAGCAGTTGGTGTTCCAGATCCATATCGACTTCAATTAGCTATACTGTTTTACCTCATCTGAAGATCCGGCCCAGAATACTTGAAATAAACAAACATACATACATACATCAGTTTCAGGGGGAGTTTAGTTTATACTTACATGCAGTTCTTGTTTCTTCAGGTCTTCTAAATCTGGACGTTGTCTGTTTATAAACTCAATCTTTGAAGTAATAGTGTCAATAATTAATTTAATGCTTGGATAATCCCTTACATATGAAATATTAATTTTAGAAGGCTGGTAATGGTCTTTCGTCTCACTAAGGCTTTCATTGTCCATTAAGTTTGGATTGCCAGTAAAAGCTCCATAATGGAATGGCGAAGGTATTAGTAATAGGCCATGTTTGGCTCCAGTCAGTATGTATGATGCCATCACTAAAGTCATTATTATCAACCCAAATATCAAGCTGCATAGCTTCCCTTTCCTCAAGCAAAAAAATCCATTCCAGCTTTCATTATGATCAGTCCTTACTTCCAAAACTGCTAGCAAGTTCATCTGCTTACTATCCACATACAAAGGAATTATATTTCCTTGTTTGCACACAGGACACTTCTGGTTAATATGATTAGACCCACGGCATCTGAAACACTGTTTGTGCAAGTCATTTGGTAATAACTGTATGCAACAATTAATGCAATGCCTCATATTAGTACCGTTAAACTGCTATATTAATGAGCCATGAATAGCCATAAAATATTTCTGATATATACAAATTATTTTCTGAAAACGTGAAATAATTTAATTCCTTGCATTATGATATATGTTGCAATTCAGAAAGCCAGGTTCAAACCAAAACAGCTAAAATATGCTGAAATTAATATACTGTCTCAGTCACAAATGAAAAAAATACCAATAAAGCTATGGTGGACATGTTTCATAAAGATTTGGCTCCTTAAGGGAAATCTAGTAAAATAAAAAGCAACCACAAGTCTTGCTCAAGTTTTTCCCATTGAACAAAATGAGATGGAAGAAACTTCACTATATAGTGTGAAAATACACAAAAAATAAAAAGACCTCATTGTCCTCTGATATATTTAGGAGTAAGCAATATATGTAGCCCAGACAGAAGGTGCCTTGGAAAGTCCAATATGCTCTCAAAAAAGGTAGGTTCCAAAATGGAGTGCTGCTTCTGAAAGTTTCATCTACATAAAGGTAGCTTCAAAGATCTGTGTTGCATAACCTAAAAAAAAATAAAAAACAAAAAATATATATGGATATATGCCAATGGATAAGCCATTACATTAATCAGCTGCAATACAAGTACGATCTATCACTCGCAAAAAAATTCTTAGTTAATTTAGCAACCTTAATTGAAAGGTATCTTCTATATAAAAACAAAAAAATTATAGTTACAAAATTTAAACACACTGAAAATTTGGAAACTCGGCTAAAAGCTCTCTAACCCATAATTAGACTCAGATTGAGAGCCCTTTGCTCACACTCTTGACCTATTACTCACACACAAGTTGCACAATTGTCTTCAATAATTGCTCACCAATGTAAATAAACAGTTTGTAATCTGGCCTTTTCTTCGGTGACTTCTTTGATTGAATACATGAAGGCCCTTAGGCATTGCAAAGCAAAGTGTTCGGGCACCTAAGGTGTGGAGATTAATGGAAGAAGGAGGCACACGTCAGGACCCTAATGGGGCTCTGGATGATCGCTACTTCCCACCACAGATGTAATGAGGTTGAGTAGTGTCCGCAAAAGAGAAACTAAACAACGAATTATTTCTCAAGAAAGGTTTTTAATGACTTTTGACTATAAAGGCAACACAGACAGAATGTGCCTAGCGACTTCACGTGTACTGTAACGATCTCCAACCAACACAAATTCATATGCAACACTGATACATTAATCAACTATAGTTTACTAATTTTTACCTACCTATTAACTTATTTAACAACTTATAAACTTTTACTGACTTTTATGATAAACTTGATGGTAACTTATACTGAAGACGGGCACAGCGACATGCAAAGCTATTATTGTTTACAAACTACTAGCTTCACCAGCGCTGTACCCATTTCCAGCAAGGCACAAAAACATATACAGTTATTATATATTGATTAACTATTGTCTACTACTATCTCTAAACAATTTAAACAATTTACTAATATAATTAAACTATAGTATTAATACAGACTTAAGATTAACTAGCTCGAGCACAACCAGACCTCTTCACTCCAAAACCTTACCCTGCATTCTTCCAAAGATACATTACCTTCAGTTGACCATTTTATGCACTGGCCAGCCACAGATAGTCAGTGAAGTGCAAGTCCCTTTGGTTCAGGGGGTGTATGTGAGCCTGACAAAGAGCAATCTCCTTTAGGTTAACACACACACACTTGCGTCTTTACACCTATTTTATACGGTATTTGCTGGCCGTGTTTCAAAACAGGTCAACCAATCAAGGTGGCCAAATGTTTTAGGGTGGTATTTGCAGTTGTTTTGATCTTATGAACTGTGCACCTGTGCTCAGCTCATCTCTTCTCTATGCGGCTAATTGTGGTCAATTTGCTAGACTCAAAAATGCTTGAGTTAGCTTAAAGAGGTATTTGGTTGCAGAGCATAGTAACCACAGGTCTGTATCTCTCTTTACAGAGTTTCCATTTTAGTTTATAAAGCTTCCTAGCTAGATTATGCTTATGCTTGCAGGATTCAACTGTACTCGCTTCTTACAACTTCCAGAAGTTTTAGGCCTAACACTGCTTAGTCTGACACTACTTGACAAGGCTTATGCACATTAATCACATAAGGTACCTAGAAAATCATAGGAACAACACTGTGATCCACAAACCTAGGCTCCCTGTACGATGAATGGGAAAAGATAGGTGCCTTAGAATATGATTCACAAAAGACAGCATTTCTTGTAGGAACGAATTAGGTGCCTGACTCACTCCATATGAAACAGTCAGAGCCACAGATAGTAGTGGTTTTTCATAGATTCCAAGGACAAAAGGGACCACTGTGGTCATCTAGGTTGACCTCTTATATAACACGGCCATAGAACTTCCCCCAAAATAATTCCTACAGTATATCATTTTGAAAATCGTTCAATCTTGATTTCCAGGATGTCAGTGATGGAGAATCCGCCATGACCCTTGGTAAATTGTTCCAGTGGTTATTCTCACTGGTAAAAACGTATGCCTTATTTCCAGTCTGAATTTGGCTAGCTTCAACTTTCTGCCATTGGATCATGCTATACCTTTCTCTGCTAGAATGAACAGCCCCTTATTAAATATTTGTTTCCCAGGTATGAACCTACAGGCTTAATCCAGTTACACCTTAACCTTCTCTTTGTTAAAATAAACAGATAGAGTTCCTTGAGTTTATCAGTATAAGGCACATTTTCTAATCCTTTTTTCTTTCTGTGGTTCTCCTCTGAACCCTCTCCAATTTATCAACATCCTTTTCGAATTGTAAGCACCAGAACTGGAACAGTATTCCAACAGGGTTTACACCAGTGCCATCATGTCAGTGCTGATGACCTAATAACTTTTAGCCAAGGGGTTAGAGTACTCACCTGGGAAGTGGGAGACCCAGGTTCAATTCCCCCTTGCCTGGCGGAGGGGAGAAAAGATTTGAACATGGGTCTCCCACCTCTCAGGAGAAGGCTCTAACATCTGAGACTATGGGATATTCTCATGGGGGTTCCCTCAACCTGTCCTGTTGAATCTGTTTCACTGTAGATAATACTTAAACAGTCACTGGGATGGATGGACGGACACACACACACACACACTCAGAAGTTAGGACATCCACCTGGGGGGCAGGAAACCCTGGGTCAAATCCCCCTGTTCCAATCACTCTTTATTTATTCACAGTGGTACAGCTTCAACAGGATCATAATGAGGGACTTAGGCACCCAAAAAACAGAACTTATTTGCCTAAATCTGGGTTTAGGCACTAAGTAGCATCCTGGATTCCACCCATTCTCTTCCGTCCTCAAGAGTCTAATATGTGAACATCCCACCCTGTTCCTGCTCATGGAAACTGCCTCTGTTATATTCCCAGACCAGAGACAGCATAAAACAAAAAGCAAATACACACAATTTGCACAAGCCCTTGTGCTGCTCAGTCCTTTCACAGGGCACCCACTGCAACCAGAGCTGTCCCCTTTGACCTCCTCAGCAGACTGTCAATCCTTAAAGGAACAGAGCAGAGGTAAATCTAACCCTGATATTCCCTTACGAGTGCTACAAATCCATTTAACTGGGGGGGAGGGGTAATAGAAGCAGTGGTTCAAAAGGTTGGATGGGGTGTTTCTGACAGTTTCTTTCAATGCTGCAGGGCCTTCTAAAGACAGAGTGAAGTGTCCAGTTGAGTGAAGGTTGTGGATGTGCTGGCAGTCAAGAGCAAGAACTCAAGATAGGAACTCTGATGGTTGGACTGGGTAGCTCTGGGATGTTGTGGGGGGCTACAGATGACCCATGATATACTGAAAAATCACTGAGAAACTTACCATTAGCAGTCAGTTTACATTTTGGAAGGGCACTTTTGCAATGAAATGGTTAGGAATGTTGTGTTTCTTTAATAAAAATATATATTAGCAGTGTCATTTGAGAGCTAAGACCCCAGCAAAAGCACTTAAGCATGTGCATATCTTTAAGTATGGGAGTAGTCCCACTGAAGTCATGGTAGACTGAGTTCCTTTGATCAGGGTAAAGGCTGAATACAGTATCTCATGCAAAGACTTCCAAGCACTGAGAAGACTTCAATGACACTACTCACAAGCTTAAGTTTACAAAGGTGCTTAAGTGTTTATCTAGACTGGGGCCTAAATCATTCTCAATTAAATACTTCACCACACAGGTGCTCATGTAGAACCAGGAGGCAAAGTCATTAATAAACTTCTTTATTTAAAACAAGTTTGTTTGAAATTACCCTATTACAGGAAGAATTCAGAGCAGAGAAATCAGAAGTGATAAATCCCAAGCATTAGCTTCCCAAAAAGAGTTAGATTCTTTGAACTAAGGTCAGAAACTTAAATTTTTAGTGTCTTAACTCAAAATCAGATATGCTGATTTGCTTCAAAGTTTTTATTTTATTTATTCATTTAGTTAATATCTTCTTTTAAGCTAGGCTGACCAGATAGCAAGTGTGAAAACTCTGGACAGGGGATGGGGGGGTAATAGGAGCCTATGTAAGAAAAAGCCCCAAATATCGGGACTGTCCCTATAAAATCGGGACATCTGGTCACCCTATTTTAAGCTTCCACATAGTCAGGGGGGAAAATTAATTTGATTTGTTTTGTTTTTGACAAAGTTCAGAGGGCAGAGGTGTCCAACATAGAGCTTTTGGGGTAACAAACAAAATATACCAGCCTCCAGTATCTTTAACATCTAATAATCCTTTGGTTTGGGCAAAGTAAGCCAGAAAAGCTTTTAAAATAATTTGGAAAAAAATCGAACATAACAGTGAATGTAAGGTGAGAGGGATAGCAAAATGATGAAGGAAGCCAAGATGGAAAACAGCTGGGATACATCGTTATCAATGGATAATGTTTAATTTAGTTTTTAATATACCAGTAAACTGTGTAAACATCTCTTTACAAAGTGAGGGGGATCTTACTGAAGTCCATCCCTTTCCCACAGACTTCAGAAAAAAGATACTTATTGGTATTTGATTCTTATTTAAAGCTCAGTGCAAAGCCTACTGAAGACATTGGCAAGACCCCCATTGATTTCAATGGGCTTTGGATCAGGACACTATGCAGTGGAGATGTGGACACTGAAAGAGTTATCACTCTGTAGTATGAAACAATACCAAAATTACTGCTTTGATTAAATATATTTTGACATACAGCATGAAGCCAATTATGGCTTCACCACTTCTTAAAGAGCTGAAGATTAAAAGCTACTTAAATACTCAGTCTCCCTGCAAAGTGATACCATGACAAGGATGTGCACAACCTGGATATATACAGTACTCCAAAGTAATCCGATGCTGGGCAAGAACAAAGATGCCTACTTCCAGGGGGTGAATATGCTTGGTCTGACCTAAGTGCTATATGAAGCTGAATACAAAGTAACAACTGAAGACCTAATACCTCTCTACAAATCTCTGCTACTGAAGTATTTCTCCCTTGAGCCACTGTCTCCATTGTCAGACAGGGGAATAACGTGACTCACATAAATCAAAAAGTTGCACGCTTAAGTAGGTAAAATGTGATCGATG